AAATAAAAATAATTCATTACACATTTGAAATTCAATTTAAACATATTTATTATTTACAATGATATTCAAATATTTTGAAATGGTATTTTAATATTAAAATTTAATTATACTCAAACAACATCTCTTTCTTTTGTTTAATTTACAATTTATTTTATATTAGATCAATGAATAGATATTATAATTTGTATATTGTATATTTAGAATTTATTTTATATTTTCATTTGATAATTTTAAAGAATTATTGTTGTTTTATATTTAGATATTGTTTTCATATATTTTCTTATTTCATGAATAAAGATATTTTCTTATTGTTATTTTAATATTAATTCTTATTGTTTATTCATATTGTTTAAATAAAAGAATATTTGTATTTAATATTAATTCATATTAATTCTGATTGTTATTTTCATTTAATGTTATTCTTTATAATATATAATGTTTATCAATAAACAATATGTTGAATTATATTCATTTATATCATTAGAAAATATTATAATTGTTAATTTATTTCAATTTAATAAATGACAAGAATTATAATAGAAATTTAAATATTAAATGATTGTTTGTTGTTGATTTATTTTATTTATTCTTTATTTTGTTATATTGATTTATTGTTTATACATTTACATGTTATTTGTATGAATGATGAATGTTTTAATAATGTATTTTGATATTCATCATAAATTATCATTATTTTGTTATTAAAATATTCAAATTACATTTATTTTATATTAATTTCATTCATTATTAAATTAATAACATCATACACATTTAGTATAACTCATTTTCATTATTTGTATTTTATTTGTTTGTTTCATTATATTCTTTATTTCATTTCTTTATTCTCTCATATTCTCATTCTTCTTTATTTATTTTTATTTCTTATTTTCAATTTCTTTGTTTTTATTACATTAAACATTGATGAATTTAAATTATTTGATTTTTCTATTAATTTAAACAAATTTATTTCAATTAATCAAATATTGAATTATTATTATCATTTCTTCAATTACATCACAACACAATCTGATGTATTTTTATTACTTTTGTTTTCTGTTACAGTTCTAGTACTAAATAATTTCCATTTACCTACTATTTCTTCTCCATCATAGTTGATTTTAATTTCTCTTCTGTATGTATTTATTTCATATGTTATATCTGACTTTGTTTCTTTTATCATTTTAGTTTCTTCTTTTTCTTCATATTTAATTTCTTTATATTCACTGATTAATTTCTTAATTTCTTCTTCATCAATTAATTCTAATCCTCTTCCCCATTCAATTAATCTTTCTATTTCATTTTCTGATCTGCTATTATCATATTCTTCATCTGGTTGTGAATCTACATAATACATTGGAATATCAAATTCTTCATTTGTTTTATTTATTTGATTTATAAATGAAATTATGTTTTCTTTGTATTGTTCTTTCTCTTTTTTACCTTTTTCAAGTTGCTTTTGTTGAATAAGGCTATAGCATTTAGTCCAAACAATACAAACGTGTTTCCAAATGTCTTTTATTGTGAAAATATCATTTATAATTGCAATAATTTGTTTAGTATTATGAGTAAATTTATTTACATTATAATTCATTGTAAATATAATTCCTTGTAATCCTTCAGCTCTAACGCAATCAACAATATTCTGAATATGTTCTTTATCAAATCTATAATAATCATTATCATTAAAACCAGGTGTATCAATAACAACTAAATCACTTCTATCTCCTTCTCCAAAACATTTAAGAGGTTTATTTGTTTTTGAATTTGGACTATCACTTACTCTAAAAACATTCTTCTGTAAAATGAAATTACCAAATGAACTTTTCCCATTTCCTGATTCTCCAATTAATAGTAATTTTGTTTGTTTTGGTTTTAATTCATCTTCTTGTAAACTCATTAATTCACCTTCTTGTAAACTCATTATTTATTTTTTTAGTTCCTATTTATTTAAAAGACTTTTCCAATTCAGGATATACAACTAATTTTAATGCCATGGCTATTGTGTAAAACCTTAGGGTCTTGTAAAGAAAAGCAAACAAGACATAGAAATACAAGGTTAAATACCAATAACACCAATAAAAGATATTACGATGATAATAAAAGATATCACAATTATAATAAAAGAAATTACAAGAGAAAAGGGTTTAATAAACAACAAAGACAAAGAAGAACGAATAAAAAACAGGATAAATACTGGAAGAATAACGAATATACAAACAATAGACATAGATGGTTAACAATAAAAGAGATACATGAAAGAATAAAAGGAATAACAAGTAAATGGGAAAAAGGAGAATACGAAGAAATACTCAAAAAGTATGAAGGTAAAAGAAAAAGATGGTATGACATTCTCCAAGAAGTATATGCAATTAGAAAGAAAAAGAGAATTGAAAAAATGCAAGAAAAATTTAAGGAAAGAACAAAAGGATGGAAAGAAGACATCCAAGCAATTGAAACACAAATCAAAAGTAAAAACCCAATCAAAGAATTACAAAAAAAGATGTCAAATGGCTAAAATAATAAATGAAACAGAAAAAGAAAGAAAAACACAAGAAGAAAACAAAGAAGAAACAAAGAATGAAGAAGAAAATTATAAAGAAAAAGAAGAAATTAAAATACTTCAAAAGCAGATTAAAAAATTAGAAGAAGAAATTAAAGAATATCAAGCAAAAAGAAAGGAAGAAGAACAAACCATCTCAGAGAAATGATAGAAAAAGCAAAAGAAATAGTCAGAAAAGAATTTGAGAAAGAGATAGAAAATATGAAAAGAGAAATTAAGAAGGTGCAAACAAATTATAATGAAAAGAAGAAAGAAAATGAAAAACTAACAGAAGAAAATATAAAATTACACAGTGAAATAAATGAGATAGAAGGAAAATCATGGAAATGAATAACAAAGAAGAAACCATTCGAAGTCTGAAAACCACTAAAGGGAAGTTACAGAAGGAAAATGATGAACAAAAGGAGAAAACAGAAGAGCTGAAGAAAAAAGGAGAAATACTGGAGAAAAAGAATAGTGTGTTAGAGGAAAAAACAGAAGTACTAGAGAAGAAAATTGAGGAGCTGAAAAGTAAAATAAGAGATAAAGAAAAACAAATCTCTGAAAATCAACAAGCAGCAATAATAAGTCATGAGATTGCAGAAATAACACGAGAAGAATTAGACAACACACAAAAAGAAAATGAGACACAAAAACAAGTCATATCAAAACAACAAGATGATATTGAAAATTTTATCTCACAGAAGGAACTAGAGAAGAAGAAAACGATGACACTTGTGATAAATACACAACCAGTATTGAGGAAAACATCATCAGGAACGATGAAGATGAACGAAACTACTCCTATGAAAAAGACAGTAGTGGAAATCGAAGAGAAAAGCACTGATTGTCAAAAAACAAGAGATGATAGTCAGACAAGAAATACAACAGAACAAACAAATAGAATTCTAATTGAAGTGTTGTATTGTTTTGCAATTAATTGGTTAAATAAGAAATTATATAAGAAATTAAGATTGGAACAAATAGAAAGTATAATAAAAGTGACAAACATCAATGTAAATAATGAAAAAGAATATATTAAATATATTAAAATGTCACATAAAATAAAAGAGAATACTAAACGATACATTAAAGTGAAAGTAAATGATATAATATAAAGAAGAATAGAGTGTAATTCAACAATAAAAACATCATATTAAAGAATAACTCTACTGAAATTGATGAAGAATATCTTAACACTCTCATCAATAAAGTGAAAGAAATGAAAATAGAAAAATGTACAAACATTAATTACTACTGGAAAAGAAAAGAAACTGACCAATTAATAATGGAAATTAATAATCGATGGGTATTGTCATGAAGCAGAATGCAGGATCTGCAAGATGATATGAAAAGGATTTCAATGTGTATGCACCTCTATCTCCAAAATAAAATAATAAGAGATAAATTTGATGAAATAAAAGAAATCCTAAAGAAAATAAATAGACTAGAAGATTTGGTCAAGGGAATTGTACAGAATAAAGTGCATCATGAAATTAAATGAACATGATGAAGAAGGAATAAAAGTTAAAGCACTAAAAAGAATAAAATACCTAAAATATATGATGACAATGATTAAAGAAAGAATTAAATTTAATAAAAAATGAAATAATCAGAATCAATACAAATAAAATCATGTTTGATTCTAACAAGAAAATTAAAATAAAGAAGAAAGAAACAAAAAATGAAATATACCCAAATAACGATATTACTTTAGAATATTGGAAATCGTTATATGAAACACAGGTGATATTAAATAAAAATAATTGGAAAATAAAACAAATCACCTCGTGGAATGAAAGATATTTCAATTATGATAGTGTCATAATAACAATAAATGAATTAAATTCGAGTTTAAAAAAAAATAAGTAACTGGAAAGCACCAGGAATAGACACTATATATGGGTATTATTGGAAAAGGATGTCATTGTCAAGAGAAATCATTCTTAGTATCTTCAATGAATTGTTGAACTTCCCCGAAAACATCAAATTAAACATGATAAGTGGAAGAACTTTATTAATCCACAAAGTGATAGGAATGATGTCACTAATTATCGTCATATCAGTTGTACAAATGTAATTATGAAAGTATTTACCTCAATATTAAAAGAAAAGATTCACAGAAGACTTAACATGAATAATGAATCATTTAGAATCAGTAGCAACCAATTGGGATGTAAGTTGCAATCTTTAGCTGCTAAAGAATGAATAATTAATAGTTATATGATGAAGCAGCAGAAAGAAGAAAAATACCCAAAATATGTGGAGTCATATTATGACATCAAGAAATCATATGACACAGTCAACCACGAATGGGTTATTGAATCATTAAAATATTTTAATGTAGAGGGTGTCATCATTGACATTATTGAAAGTATGATGACTAGATGGAAGATACTCATAGGCTATAAATATAATGAATATCTAGGTAATATTAAATTAAATAGAGGAATTTTACAAGATGATTCCTTATCAAATCTACTCTTCATTATTCAGATGAATGTAATTTCTCAAATCATCGAAGAGAAATTCCCAAAATCAAATCACACTTTATATATGGATGATTTGAGAATAATGACAGAAAGTAGAGAAGAAATGGGAATAATCCACAATGAAATTAAAGAAATAATAAGTGGAATAGGGATGGAAATGAATGAGAAAAAGTCAGGAATGGTATTAAAAAACATTAAAGAAATACTAAATGGAATGCAAAACATCCCCCTAATTGAAGGTGAGGACTTGTATAAATACTTAGGAATATGGCAGTCCGATGAAATTGATGACACCTTCAATTGTAAATCCATCAAAGAAAAATGAATCAGAAGATGGAAGAAATAAACACTGATGAAAGTAGTAATAGAAGATATATTACTAGAATAAACATGGAAGTAATCCCTATCTTCAGATATTCAGCATCAGTTGTGAATTGGAGAATCACTGACCTAGATAAAATGGATTTTAAGATAAGAAAATATTTAAGAAATTCAAAATACATTGGTGAAACTCCAAAGATCGGTTATATGTCCCTCTAGAAGAAATGGGTGAAGGATTAATAAATATAAGGGACGAATATGTTATTGAAATAGTAAGAACAGTAATGTACTACTGTACCAGAGAAAGTGAGATAGGAAATAACATATTAGATAGATGGTACAGTAAGAAGGGAATATGGAATAGAATTAAAAAACAATAATTCATAAAATAAATGAAACAACAATAGAAGAAATAATAAATGAATTTATAGAAAAGAAAAAAGAAAAAAGAAGTAGTAGTAGAAATAAAAAAATTATTGACAAATACATCAAAAAATGGAAGTCCCATCAAATTAGTGGATATTTTAGAAGATGGTTCGAGTCAAAATGAGTAGATAAAACTACTACAGTGAAACCATGGAATTCAATCAATATTAAGAAAAATGCATTCCTCCAATTAACTAAAATGCAAGATGGTGCATTGTTTTGTGAGTATAAAAAAGCAAAAATAATGAAAAATGAAAGATTGAAATACTGCCCACTTTGTAAAGACAAAATATCAACAGTAGAACACATTCTACTATCTTGTATTTATCATAAAAAATCACAAATAGAAAAACATGATCATATAGGCATTATAATATGGGAGGGATTAATAAGAAAATACACTGGAAATAATCAATATAAAAAACCCCCATATGAAACAGTGTTCCAATATAAAGACATCACAATGATATGGAACAAACAAATAATGCCTAAAAGTGATGGACAATACCACAAAATACAAGATATATATGTATTAGATAAAAAGAAAAAAACTAGTCTAATATTTGATATGATTATTGTGGCTGATCACAATATTAATGGAGCCTATTTGAAGAAAAGAAATATGTATAATGAATTAAAGAATAGGCTAATGAAAATAGAAAAATTAAAAGATGTCAAAATAATTCCAGTAGTAATATCAATAAATGGATTAGTAAATAAAGAAAGTATCAGACTAATCAAAGAATTAAAAATTGAGATTGACATCGAGAAAGAAGTAAAAAACCTTATAATTAAAAACATGATGGATGTCATGGAATACTGCGGAGATCACAACCAAACATATTCATTAGAACTTCTAGATGAAGACAAAGGAACAATATTAGTCTCCCCTAAGCCAGGAAGAATAGAAGCTAGTTCTATTAATACTTAATTAATTGCTTATTAATTTTTATTTTTTTGAATTGACTGTGTTTTTTTTATTTCAATAATTTATTATTATATTTACATTACTTTTCTTCTTGTTTAATTTAAAATTGTCATGTTTAGTTATTTCTTGTTATATCTGTTTTTATTTATTTTATTATTTATTTTATTTCTAATATTCTTTATTTTATATTCTTATTGTTATTTCATTCTTTATTA